TACTCTGTAGACACTGAGAAAGCTAAATGAATGTACAGACTTCCTAGTCATCCATCAAGTGCAGTAGGTCAGGCTCATCTTCATTTCTGGGTTTTATTCACAAAGTAAATCGAGGTCTGGGGTGCTGTGGGATACAGGTCCCTTGAAGAACAAAGTGTAAGTCCTTAGGGAAAGTCAGGCTCCACTTACAGTCCCATCTCTCAGCTCAGCTTTTAGAGCAATTGGCTTTTGTGGTTGAATAAGTCCTTGAGATTGTATTTTCAGGGGGATCTGCAAAGGTTAAATAAGCATATGAGAGTTGATTAATGAACCAACGACAACAACAGAAGCAAAGTAGACAGGATACATTAAGAACAATATGCTTTACAAGCATATAAAAACTACTTTTAGCATCATATATCGTTGATTCCTAATACTTATTCAATGAGCTATGTGAAGACTGGATAGTGAAAGCATGCATCCATCCATTCATTCAACAAAATATCTATACAGCACCTATTGTATACTAGGCCAAAGACAAAATCATGTTGGTTTGTGTTTGTTTTGGTTCAAATTTCAAATAAAAAGGATGAATTTAAAAAATTTAAACCAGATTCTTAGACACTATGGCCAAGTATTTTGAAAAGCCATATAGAAATAATTTTGTGCATGTTGAAACTTGCAAGGTAATCCTGAGTACATATTACACATTTTAGTAGTGTGGACCATCCTCGACTTCTAGAGTCCAGTCACCTCTCCCAGTGGAACCCTTCCAGTTTCACGATGGGGAGAGTTCTCTGTGAAGCATTATGTCTGTATTATAACATCTCCTGGCTCCCATGTGTAGTATAAATGGTGAATTTCTGAAGGCCTATGTAGTAATTTAGACAATAATTTTAGTTCCATTCTCACCCAGTCACTCCTTCAGGGTTGGAAGAGTCACGAACATAATATCCTTCTGATCTCAGTTGAGAGAAGGGCAAGCAAATTGTCATGGAGGGTGAGAAGCACCAGCCATGGATGACTGGGAGTTTGCAGGTAATGTCTGGCCCACCCAGTT